CGACCACTCGGCCAACGAGGTAGTCTAGTTATTATTGAAGTTTATCAAAAATCTAAAAGCTCTATAATAGTTTATCAGAGATTATTTGCCTATTCGAAACTTTACCTTTCTTTCTATGACTACATGTAACCATTTTCCAATAACTTATTCTTATCAAATTACAAAATTAACACACCAAAAATCTCTTTCAGGAAACGATACCAAAAGCGGAAGGTTTCCAGTTAGCTCTAGAATGTCTAGCGACAGAGACGGGAGACAACGACAGTCGGAGACTGGGCTGGCAGGCCGCGCAGCGCGCGCTCGAGGCCGTCGCCAGGCTCGTACACTCCACGCTCAGCGGACGGAAACTGCATCTCGCCGGACCATTCAGCTACTTTATTGTGCAGGAGGTTTGTTGTTTTGTGCTCTGTACTATAATGTTACAAACATCTTTACGTACTACAGGGGAATTATTATGAAAATCTAAGAATGTGTTTACCTTACTTGAGAATTGTAGTTTGATTTAAATTCCCGTACGAAGTAATTCTTTGTGTGACCCGTATTTTTTTAATTTGTATTTATCGTGTGATCTGACTGTCGTATAACGTGTTGCGGATTTGATTCCCGCGCAGAACAACTTTTTGTGTGGCACAGGAGCAAACCCAAGTGCGAACCAACGTTTTTTCAAAAAAAAAACCTCTTGCGAATCGAATTCGAACTTCAATTTTGGGATTTTGGCATAGGATTATTGTGGTATGTCCATTGCTGAACATTTTAGAGGACAGTTGTTCACTCTCTCCCCCCCCCCTCCCGCAGGGCAGTCCGGAGGCGCGCGTGGTGCGCGGCCCCGCGTGGCTGTCGCTGGCGGCGCGCTGGGTGTCTGCGAGCGAGGGGGGCGCGCGCGCCGTGCTCGCCTCCGCGCCCCGCGACACGCACTCCTGCATCCTGCTGGGGGTGCCGCCCCGCCACCTACACGAGCCCAGGAAGTATGTACTACTCCATGCCACCCTGATAGCAGGCACAACTTTTCTATTTACGCTGCCAGCAAAGATGTGTAGTAAACTAAACTGTTGTACTTAAATGAATTCAGGTAATGATAGCTAGAAAATGCGAGAAGATATTAACAGGGAGATAGCACATTTGATTTGCTGACTACACACTTTATTTGTTTACTATCTACTTTTGTGTGATTTCACAAACTCCGCTCAACTCCTATTGGTGATGTTTTATAAACTATAAAGGATTTATAAGAGTGTTTAAGAGGATATATTTATACATAAGACCCTTCCTCGATAAATACACTATACAATACAAAATAATTATTCAAATCGAACCACTAGTTCTAGAGATTAGTGCGTTCAAACAAACAAACTCTTCAGCTTTATATAATAGTGTAATTTTTTTTGTATACCACTACGATGGCAGAAATGCACACGGCCCACTTGATGGTAACCGGTTACCGTGGCCTATGTACGCCTGCAACACTTGGAGCATTACATACGCCTTAACAAGATACCAAATAGGACTTTTAACCTACTTATTTAAAATGTTAGTATTGATGGAAATATTCACAAATTCTCAACACTTTTTACTGAATAAAAAAAATAAAAACTTATTTGTTATCAACACTTTCTCTTCCAGTCTATTCGGCGCAGCGTTCGAGCAAGCTGCGACCAAGTGCGGCGCGTCCGTGTCGTTGGACCACGTCGACACTTCCATCATCACACTCCCACTCGCGCAGAGAGCGCAGTTCCTGGATGCCCTCACTGCTTTACTAGCGTAATGTTACATAATATAAAGTTGTACGAACTGGTCATAAGGTAGGAAATATATGAAAATAATTATATTAGGAAATAACATTTATAATGTTGTCTTCTATGATAGGTTTAATATCCCAATTTAATAACAGTTTTCGACTTTATATTTGAAATTCTCTGTGTCTAATGCCGGAATACTGAAACGTTACTCAATTTTAAGTCGTGCTCAAATATCGTGCCATCTCTGTCATTTTACAAAGAATTTGTAGAGATAGAACTATACTTAAGCACGACTTAAAATTGAGTAGCGTTTCAGTATTCCGACTTATGGCTCTAGCCAGACGGTCCACATTTCAACAGCAAATTGTAGTTCGAATGCAATTTGAACGCAGTTGACACGCCTGCAATTTAACTGCAAACCAAACGTGCAGTCCCATTGCAGTTCAATTGGGATGACGACAGGGTATGAAAATTAAAAATCAAATTAGTCCGTAAGTTAGGTATTTAAAAAATATTAGACACGTATTTTTTTATTTTGTCGTATAATAAAACAATACTTAGATAAAACGAATCAACCTTGAGGAGTGGGGGCTAAAACGTCATTTCTAGGTATAAAATGTACATAATAGTGACGTCACACGACATTTCAAATCAATATATCGTGGAAAGTATTCGTTTCTGTAAGAAAATAAAAAATACGTGTGTAATGATTTAAAATAATCTACCAGACGGACATTAAAATAAAAATTAGTCATCTACCCTATTGCAGCCATGATCAAACTGTTGCAATCTAAACAAGCAGTCCGATTGTAGTCGTCCCAATTGCGTTCAAACTGCTTACGAACTGCAATTTGCAGTTGGATTGCAGTTGAAATACGGTTCGTCTGTTTAGAGCCTATGTCTGTAGTTACAGTACCTATCAAATATATAAGTATGGTGCCTTGAATTGTGCCTTGTATGGCAATAGGTTCACCCCTACTATATGGGACTCATCGCCAGCCAAATAATTGAATTAAATATGCGCATTTCTTCCCAAACAACAATTTAATGTTTTATATTGTAACCAACTTATATATGTTATTTTTTCTTTTTGAAGCATAGCAGGTTCTGTGCCAATTGCGTTTTCATAAATAACGAGAACCACTATGCACACAAGAACTAAAACAAAAATACATGCTGTAGATCAGCCTACGCCTGTAATTTCAACTTCCAACTTTGTTTAATTTGGTAATAAAGTCGAAAGTACATTGAAGAAATAACAGATTGGTCTAAACATTGTAAATATAGATAATATATACCAGCATGTTTAATAACTAAGTATTGATTTATATATTTGACTTTCTTGATATCCGGATATTTGTTATAGAATATAATCTAATGAAGTCAGATTTGAATAAGCTTTCGATAATGCAATTTATTATAATAATGCCTTTTAATAAGGGCAACAGCTTTTTTTTACTCACCAAATGGCGCTACAGCAATTTTTACAGCCACAGTGATTGGAGAAAAGGAACCTCACGGTGCTTTAGCGATTCGACAAACAGGGGCTTAGGTTGCGTAGCGCCATCTGCTGATCAAAATCTGTAGCCCTAACTCAATTAAATTTTTGATTAACATGATTCAATAATTACAATCTGCCATAAATGTCATAATTAATGAAATAATAATAATAATAAATCGCTGAAGGTATTTGAATTATTATCAAAATACTTGTTGTTTTATGATTTTATTAACAATATTGAATCAGTTTTCAATTATAAATAATTATTCATAGAATTATTTGAGTGTGGTTTTGCTTTTGTAGGAGTGAAAGATTGGTAGTTTTATTTATTCTGTATTTTTGTTTGTAATTGTTTTTTTTTCTATAAAATGTATAAACATACTTAACAGTGTATTCATATATAAAAGAAATCAAAACATATATCAAAGGAAATTCGTTAATTTTCTGTATTTTTTTTTGCTTACACATTTCCTTAAGTATGTAAGTTAAATTTCTAGGTATAAACAACAACTACCGTAAAATGAGGTGGATAGGGATCGAGAGGTGAATACAGACAGAAGAGGGGTGAATAGATATTGGGAAAATTTTCATAGTATCAATTCACCCCTCTTCAAACTCAAACTCAAAAGCATTTATTTCAATTAAACCATAATTTGGTACTTTTGAAACGTCAACAAATATGAAATAAATAATAGTCTGTCAGTCTGTCCGTCAGTGAAGCTAGCGCTCGTTCCAAAATGTCTTCTGTCCCAATTCACATCTCGATCCCTATTCACCCAATTTTACCGTACCTTTAGTTGCAGTGGTATTGACTATATGGACTCACGGCGCGATTTTCTTCCGCGCCCTCCGCGGTTGCGGGCCAGCCTTTGTTGAATACTTATGATATGTATGTAAAAAATCAAACCGATTTGCACGGCGCGTTTTAAATATGCCCGCGGCGGTTGTGATTGTTTGCGGCTCTCGCTGCGGCCGACCGGTTGGCGGGCGAACGCAATGGGAGGCCGGTCTGGAACTCAACTAATTTTTTAACCGCCCGCTCGTCTTGTATATAATCAACCACCAAGTATGCGGGTGATAATAGCAACAGCGGCGGCTGCGGATCGCAGAAAACTACTATGACGTGAGTATTTGAATATTCAGCCTCCATTGCGCCACCGAGACTGGCGCGAAAGAATATCGCGCCGTGTGTCCTTAGCCTAAGTTTAAAGAGACGATGTTTTACTACCGAAAAAATAAAACTACGATTCTCACAAAAGTATGTGTAAACAAATGACTGTATTTGTAATGGGTAAGATCTTAGTTTCTAGTATTTATTTAGTAATAGTTGCATTTATGAAATAAAAATAATCGATAAATTGAAAAATATATTTTTATTTTCATCATTCCTATAAAAAATACAAGCGTGTTATGTGTAAATCATTAGTATCAATTATTTTAAATCAGTTATTGCTATGTAAAGTCTAGAATTAAAGCCTAGAAATAAGCGTTTAAAGCCAAGCTTGGCACATAATAAAATATAATAATATATTATGTAACATTCGTTCTAAATCTGTTCTATGAACAATCTACACCAGATTCAAGCAAAAAGTGATAGGAGTATTTTCTGCATCACTTGGCTTGGACCATATTATATGGATATGTTGACTGTAAAACCGGCCGAGTATTTTTTGTCATTTTTAAATGTGTCTACTTTCAGCGTAGGACACTCAGGTCTATCTGTAATCATTTTTGATAAATTTTTGGATCAAATCCAGTGACCATTTTGGCTGATCCTTCGGTACCATGTGACCAGCGTTCCTCACTAACGCTTCGGTAAGGTTCCCGCCGGTCTTTATATACCCGGCTATGTTATTGCCGACTTTCCAAATAATTCTCGTGGCTCTTTTATACTCGTCGGAAGCGGAGAAGTTTAAATTGTTTATGAAGTTGACTGTGAGCGGGTATGCCACGATAATGTCCAGCTGTCCATTGTAGAAGAGCATGCGGTAATGTGACAGTAGCTCGGAGATCGCTGGCGCGACCGACTGCATCATATCCAACGACAGCATCAGCTGAACTGTCTCCCCGTCCTGGAACGACCTCCCCCCCACATGTATACTTCGTCGCACATCATTCTTATTTAACAACTTCATAAATGGCGTCTTTTCGTCTATCGATGTCGACTGCAGAAAATTATAATAGTAATTATACCCTGTGTAGAATTTAAAGAGCGCAAAATGCGTCACTTCCCCGTCCATCAGCCGGTCCATCAATATATTCGCTTGCGTCCACGCTTCACTCTTTATTGCCGAGTAAATTTCTTTTTGACTTTTCTCAAATACTTCCAACTGGTAATTATCCAACAATCCATGTTGATACAGGAAATTACCATAATCCAACTGGTTTAAGGGATCGGAGTAAGCATTCCCCAGCGCCATGCCTTTTAAGTTAATTTTAATTTTTGATTTAGCATTTTCTTTGTGGATCATCATTCCTAAAGACGGTATGTACTTCCCCGCGTAAGATTCCCCGGTTATATAAAAATCATTGTGTGCTAAATGTGGAAATAATTGAAAAAATTGTCTCAAGCCCCAGTACAGGGCCTTGCCGATGCAATCCTGGTTGGTGCAGTAACCTTTAGTATTTTGTGTGAAGCTGAATCCAGTTCCGACTGGGCTGTCAATGAATACTAAGTGGTACTGCAGAGCCCAGTGATACTTTCTTAGAACAATTTTGCCTCTAAAGGCCATTAGGGGTCCTATTTCTACGAAGAGTCCGTATAGAGAGCTACTTCCCGGTCCGCCTTGGAGCCACAAGAGCACTGGTGCCGTTTGATTCCTAGAAAAAGGATGAAAATACCAAAAATATAGATTGGAGTTGTACTTCTTGTCAACTGTAAAGAACCCGGCATGACTCGCAACTTCTGGTACATCTGGTAAATGCACGCGGGTGAGATTCTGCGCTGCACATATTAGGCCCTTTTTGAGATACGGGGTCACAAATACTGGGTCCCCTGCTTCTTTGCTTGACTTCGATGGCAGTTTCAGCCTCGGATAAATTGGGAAGAATATACTGTTCACCAAAGTTAACAAGCTCAGTGCTGTGATCAAAAGTAACATAACATAGGATTCAATGCTGTAGTACAGCTGAGACACTCGTCAAGTGAATTATTTATTCTGTACAAAATCATCGATCTCTGGAATCTTTCGTATGTTGTAAATATATCGCGTAACATGCTGCAAGGTTTCGAGCAAACTTTTCGCAAATTCATGACGTATGTCATTAAAGGCTACAATCCAAAAAGACGAGCTTACAGAGTAAACTGTATCAGCAAAAAGGTTTCAAACCTTGTCGATATTTTGTTCAGCATGTCGGTGTGATTATATAAATATAAACCCCTTAACTAAAAAGTTGTTCAAGCTTTTATAAGTCATATAAAAATCTTCAGGCAATATAAGAACTGATTATTGCTTATCTACAATTATTGTCCCCATTTAATTTAATTTTATTCCCTTCAACCATAATGCTTATTATTTGTCTTCAAAACAAATTACATTTAAAATAAAAAGTTTTAGGAAGCAAAATCATTTTTAATGAATCTTGTGATGAGGTTCAGAGCCCATTTAGGTTGGTCCCGTGGTACCATATGCCCAGCATTCCTGACCAAGACTTCAGTCAGATTACCAGCTGTCTTTACATATCCAGCAATATCATCACCTACTTTCCAAATCGATCTCTTCGCATTTTTATATTCTGCAGCTGAAGAAAACTGTAGTTTTTGCAAAAAGTTTTCTGTGAGTGGGTAAGCAACAACTATATCCAGTTGCCCATTATAGAACATTATTCTATAATGCGATAGAAGCTCTGATATCGCTGGAGCTACAGATTTAAGTAGATCAAGTACTAAATTTAGTTGCACTTTTAATCCATCATTGAAGGGTAATCCTCCAACATGTACACCACGGCGGACCTTGTCATTCTGCAATAACCTGATAAATACTGACATGTCATCAGCTGTAGCAGCCTGTAAATAGTTGTAATAGTAATCAAAGCCAGTGTAGTACTTGAAATATGAGAAGTTCGTCATATCTCCATCCATAAGTCTGTCCATGAGAACATCGGCTTGTTCCCAATTTTCTTGTTTTATTTGACTAGCAATCTCTCCTTGGTATTTTAAAAACAATTTTGATTCATTTTCGTCTATTAATCCTAATTGATATAGGTAGTGGCCATAATCTAGTTGATTAATTGGGTCACAATATGCGTTACCCATTGCAATACCTTTTAGATTTACTTTTTCTTTGCTCTTGGCATTTTCACGATGTATTTTTAATCCAAATGATGGCAGGTACTTCCCTGCATAAGATTCTCCTGCTAAGTATAATTCATTTTGCTTTAAATTAGGAAACAATTGGTAGAACTGCTTCAGAGTGGAGTAAAGTCCTTTTGCTACACAATCCTCATTAGTACAATATGCATTCTCATTATCTGTAAAACTGAACCCAGTACCCACAGGGTTGTCAATGAATATTAAGTGATAATTCAGAGCCCAGTGATATTTTCTTAAAGCGAAACCTTCCTTTTTCGCTATTAGTGGTCCCAACTCCTGAAATAGTCCGAAAAGAGAACTTCCTCCAGGTCCGCCTTGAAGCCAGATTACAATAGGAGCTTCTTCTTTTTTAGAAAACGGAGGGAAGTACCAGAAATACAAATTGGCGTTGTATATCTCGTCTATCGTAAAGAAGCCGGCGTGGCTTCTAAACCCTATCGTATCTGTAATGGACACTCGGGAAAGGTTTTGCGCGAGTAATATGGAGCCTGTCTTCAGATAAGGAGTGATAAACAGAGGTTCACCAGCGTCTTTCGTTGATCTAGCGTCCAGTTTTAATCTTGGATATAAATTTGGAAAGAATCTAGCGTTGACCACTGAGAACGCACATAACGCTGCGAGAAAAATAGTGCACAGTCTCCAAAAGCCATTTGTATCGCACATTATTTTCTTCATACTGATACTAACTTTTTAGATCATGTTGTTATTCTAATGAAGTAATAAAATAAAACACCGATCACTTTGATTTATGTTAAAACTTTTGTTTGTTTTCATTTATTTGTGTTCATTGGTGTTCGATTCGGAGCAAGTTCGGGGAGACAGTCAATGACCTATTGACAAAGTTGAACTTGAAAGTTCAAAACAAAGTTCTTTCAAAAACGTAACTGTAAACAAAACAAAATGATAAAATGAATAAATAATTATGATATTTAGTCTATTTTAGGTAATCCCACGTAGCATTTAAGAAATGTGCAAATTTCAGTATTATGCGTTATACTGTGTCATTGTAGTTATATGAATATGAAACTATTTTCATTAATTTCATTCTTTCAGGATGTCTGCGTATAGAGAATCACGGTTCACAGATTAAATAAACTGCAAACTTTTGAATGAGTTTCGTATTTGAATCTTGAGAATGTGTGTGTCAACACACACATGTACAACTGTACAAGTACAGAATAAATCGCGCTCGTGTTGCGTTGTCGCTTGTCGGTATATTGAAAAAAAGTGTGGTTCTTGATAAGCCGGCTAAAAACAACATTATTATTACCGACCAACTAGTATGATAAAAAGGTGAAGCTCACTAATTAGGTCAGTATTCGGGTCGAGATGGCGCGAGCACTGTGGGCTCTGTTAATTTTTCAAGTATTTATTCATGCCGAGGGCTTCTTCCACCGGTATCCGAAATTGAACCTCGGCGAGCGCGATGGAGGTGATGCAGGCAGGCCTCTGTTCCTCACCCCGTACGTCGAGAGCGGGAAAATTGAAGAAGGGAGACGTCTGGCTCGCGTGCCCTTCACGGAGAGTCTTCGTATCAAGAGTTACTCCGGATATTTCACCGTGAACAAGCAATACAATTCCAACCAATTTTTCTGGTACTTCCCTGCGATGGTTCCCAATAATACGAACGCCCCCGTTATAGTGTGGCTGCAGGGAGGTCCTGGTGCTACTTCTTTGTACGGTCTGTTCACGGAGAATGGGCCTATTAGAGTACGTCGCAATAAATTCGAGAGAAGGAAGTATAACTGGGCTGTGAGTCACCATATAATCTACATCGACAACCCTGTGGGTACTGGGTTTAGCTTCACAAATGACACCCGAGGGTACTGCACGGATGAGACACAGGTTGGTGAGCAATTGTACTCCACACTCATACAGTTCTTCCAGCTGTTCCCGGAACTGCAGCAGAACAAATTCTTTGTGACTGGTGAGTCTTATGGAGGGAAGTATGTTCCTGCCCTCGCATACACTATTCATAAAAAGAATCCAACAGCCAAGCTGAAGATAAACATGAAGGGAATTGCTATTGGCAATGGTCTGAGTGATCCAGAACATCAACTGGTGTATGGAAAATATTTGTACCAAATAGGCCTCATAGACTCAAATGGAGCCAAACTATTTGAAGAATATGAAAATAAAACTAAAAACTTTATCAGACAAGGAAAATGGGATGATGCGTTCGCCACATTTGATACTCTGTTGAATGGTGACATGATTGATGGTAAGAGCATATTCACAAACCTGACCGGCTTCAATTTCTATTTTAACTTCTTACATACAAAGGACTACACTCAGTTTGAAGATTTTGGGCCCATGTTGCAGAAGTCTGCAGTTAGAAAAATGATCCATGTTGGAGACTTGCCTTTCCACAATGGCACTGAAGTTGAAAAACATCTGAAGCAGGATGTTATGAAGTCAGTAGCTCCATGGATATCAGAGCTGTTGGACCATTACTATGTGGTCATTTACAATGGTCAGCTAGACATCATTGTGGCTTACCCTTTAACTGAGAACTACCTTAAAAACTTAAACTTCACTGGAGCTGAAGATTATAAGACTGCTAAAAGGTATGTTTGGAAAGTGGATGGAGAAGTTGCTGGGTATGTGAAGCAAGCTGGTAAATTAGTGGAGATTCTGGTGAGGAATGCAGGACACATGGTGCCCGGAGACCAGCCCAAATGGGCACTAGATCTGATCACTCATTTTACTCATGAGAAAATGTTTTATAATCCTAAAAAGGCTGTGCACTTCGGAATAAATTGATGAATAAGGTATATTATGGGTATCCATGATGCATGGGAACCTAAAGTATATAATGTGCAAAGTAATGTAAAAATAAAAAATAAACATATCCACCATGATTGAATTAGTTCCCACAAGTAATTCAATCCGTACTTGCTCAAGTTACATGCATCATGTTTTAGTATAGACTTTATCAGTTTTGTTACTATGGTGAGAGATTTTTATAATATGTTAGTTATGTAGAACTTAAGTTAAGCATATTGTATTACTTTTTTGTACTTCATTAGTAAACTTATTACTTTATTTTGTCATTGATTATGTTAAAATTGGCCTGTTATCCAAAATAGAAACTGTATACATATTTAAAGTAGGTTTTCGCAGGTACTTATTTGCATATGTGTAAACAATGATTCATGCTATTATTATCAACTGTTATTACTGAACACGATTTACTAGGAAAACTACAATAATGTTACATGTTTTTGTATAATTTAAATAACATCACAACAATGTGTAATTTATAGGATATGTAGAGAATGGAGCTGTCAGAAATTGTAACTTTATTGTAGCTTTGACAATATCTTCATGAAACTATGTAACTTGTTGAATGGAGTATTTTGTTTCAGTGATCTTTTACATAATATGATTGTGTAGGGCACCTAGGTTTCCCGAAAGAACTCGAATGTTATTGCAGTTTTTAAAACTAATATATTACTCAGGTGCTATTAAGTTTGTTACCATGTTTTTTAAAAAGAATAAATATTTTATAATAAGAAGCAGTTTGTTTAATTTATTTTGTTAGGATGACTCTGTAAGGACGTGACCTTGATTGACCATGGTCATTTTGGACGTTAGGTAGGTATTTACCTAACAATAATATTTTAAGAGAATAAAATAGGTACCTTTTTTCTTTTAGATTTGCCCCACACTAGGATTTTCTCCTGTTTCGTGGGTGCTTTTACAAACATACAAGTTCACATACACATGACACCCAGACCCAAAATAACAATTTGTGGATTACACACAGTGTTGTTCCGTGCGGGAATCGAACCCGCTACACGTTGCGCGGCAGACGGTTACCCAGCCACCGCGCCGAGCACGTAGTCAAACCTATATTTTTCCTAGCTAAGTATTGCGTGTCCTGCGACTCCTTAAGGAAACTTAACCAGGTTTAAGTTAAAGGGAGGTTTTTCAACTTACCTAAACCTTTTTGGGCAATCTTGTCAAGGATTAGATCTAAGTACCCAATCTATAAATACATCAAAGAGAAATTAGCATTAGAGATTATTGATTATTGATTTTAATTTACGAATATATCCTTGGACTGTGCTACTATACCCACATCTACAGTATCAGTCAGTACCTACAGGCCACCGGCAGGTATAGTAAATTCTTGCTAAATGTAATAAATCATAGATATAATAAAGTTAATATTTTTGTGCAATAAACATTTGAATTTCATTCTATTTATTTACCTATTCCCCAATGTCGTAAAATTAAACGTTGACATGTTTTTTTTTGATAAGTGAAGCATTATAATAATGCAATGTTAAGTAACTAACTCGATAACAACTGTTAATTCGAATTTAATTGAAATAGGTAGGTTACTTCGTTTTATACGAATTCTAGTGGTTAAACAAGAAAAACCTCGGGTTCGATTACAGGGTCGGCAAAGTTGCGTTTGGTGTATTCTGAGATTTCATGACCTACTTACTGGGTTTTCGATTTTTAATTAATCATAATTCACTTAATTGTGGACTATTGTGCAAAGAGGCTTGCCATTGAAAGATGTATAATTTGGATACATGGTAATTTTTTTTATACCATGACATAGGCAAAAGTAGCATACGGCCCCCCTCATGGTAAGTGGTTACCATGGACTATGAAGACAATGATGATTTTGAGAGTAAGAAAAAATAAAAGCCAATTTATCACAATATCAAATGTTATTTTAATTAATCTTTAACCTAGAGTTACTTTATCGTCTGGATATGAGCTGTGTTTCAAGAAACCACACAAAACACTTCACTCCAGAAAAGTGAACATTACTTATTAAAATAAACTGAAACACACTTGTGTTGACAAAACATTACTTTCCAAATGTCCTTTACCATGTCAAAAAAAAAATTGTAAATGATAATAATATTATATCTTGTAAATCAAACTTTTCTGCACTATTATGTCAATATGGAACAGGTTACAGGGCATTCAGAAAGTATTAACACTGGTTACAAAGGGAATGGAAGATTCATCTATCGGCCTTCTATGTAAGTTGATAGCTCAATCTCTTCTGGCAACTCCGTGATGTTGACATCGAAGCGATCTTGAACTTCATTGAGGATCTTGGCATCGTTCTCATCTGATACCATTGTAATAGCTAACCCTTTGGTACCAAATCTACCAGCACGAGCCACACGATGAAGGTAGGTGTCAGAGTCTTCAGGCATGTCATAGTTGAACACAATATTCACTCTCTCAATATCCATCCCTCTTCCAAACAAGTTAGTGGCTACTAGGATTCTCTTCTGGAACTCCTTGAACTGTTGATAACGTGACAGACGCTCGTCTTGAGTCATGTTTCTGTGTATACCAATAGCGGGGAAGTTCTGGTCTGTCAGCAGCTGTGCTAGAGCTATGCAGCGCTGCACAGACTTGACAAATATTACTACTTGATTGAACTCCAACACATCCAGCAACTCAAATAGCTTCTTGTTCTTCTCATTCTCCTTGAGTTTCACGTAATGTTGCTGCAAACCGTGCAATGTCAGCTTGGCTTCATCATCCACATATACTTCCATAGGGTCCTGCATGAACTTCTTGCAAACTGGCCTGATTTCTTTGCTCAATGTAGCAGAGAACATCATCACTTGCTTACCGTGGGGAGTGTTTCTGAATATCTCCTGAACGTCACGTCTCATGTCTAAAGATTCTAGCATCTTGTCACATTCATCAAGTATGAAATGCTTCAAATGTTTCAAATTCAGTTTCTTACTGTTCACTAAAGCCAGAATTCTGCCGGGTGTACCAACGACGATATGAGGGCATGCAGTTTTGAGAACCTCCTCGTCCTTTTGTACGGGCATACCACCGAAAAACACCGACACTCTGACGCCGGCCATGTATTTTGAGAAACGCTCATATTCCTTACTAATTTGGAAAGCTAATTCTCTCGTGTGGCACATTACGAGTACGTATACATGATTTTCTGAAGGTTCCAGCTGCTGTAGTGTCGCCAATACAAAAACGGCGGTTTTTCCCATGCCGGACTTAGCTTGACACAGGATATCCATACCAAGGACAGCTTGTGGAATACATTCATGTTGTACCTCTGATGGATGCTCGAAACCGCAGTCGACGATGGCGCGCAATATTTCGGGTTTTAACAGGAAATCTCTGAATCCAGAGCTGTGAATAGATACGTAGGATCCCTTAACCTCTTTCTTTGGCGCCGCTTCTGTCGCCCCGTCAGCGGTCTGCTGATCTGCCTGCTCCTCGTCTTCGTAGTCCAGAAGATCATCGTTGTCAGCCATGATGTGTGGATTTCAACAAATTTATTTACTAATTTAAGGCCGTAATCGATTAGGAGCACGTGAAATTTATTTTGAAAAATTATTTCACAATAATGGCGGCTATGGTTTCGGCGTCAATGAGTACTTTTTTTATGAAACGGTTGTTCAGCACGGACCTGAAATGGATACCAGGCTTTTTGCATAATTTTGTACAAGCTTTGAGGGTGGCCTCAACAGTGTTGCTATAAATAAAAATAGAAAATACGGTTTTGTGCCTTTTTGTGCCCATAAAACTTTGTTTTTTTTTTTTGTATTAATTTATTTAACCGTCTGTTCTTGCATAAAGAGTAGTAAGCACAGTAAGTAAGGTGTAAGCACACAAACTTCTATAATAATTATTATTTTATCCGCAACCTATTGGTCCTGGAAAATGGAGGCATCGACAATCATAACGACAAATAATTGTCGTTAATTACGTTTGTCTAAAAAGGGTGGAACTTGTTTTTCCAGGTCTTTTGAAAATAAAAACGCCGATTTTCTGTGAAGCGTATAGTCGCTTTGATACAATTTCATTAAAATAACATCAACGCAACAGCTCATTAAGAGTCTTCTGCGATTATGGAGTCTAAGTGAAAGTAATTCATTTTTGCCTGATCTATTGACTGAATTTGATTTGATTTTGATGTTGAATTTGATTAATGTATACAATTTGGCTGATACATGCCCAATATTTGCATGCCCAATAGTTACAACAAAGAGATATTATGTAAGTTGAATAAATACCACCGTAGTCTTTGTATGTCACCGTATTTGCTGAACAAAGGTGTACCTTTGTTCAGCAAATAAAGTTATTTTGATTTTACAAAGAAAAAAGTTTGACATAATGTTCATACTTAGCGGGCGATTTAATAGATCGTTGCTACTCGGTTTCTGTTAATACATATGCATTTCCTTCAAAATTAATGGGGAAAATCATCGAATGTCGGCTCCCGCCTAGGTGAGGAGGGAGGGAGTGTCAGACTCTTACTGAATAAAAACCACCCCGTTCCTACTCCTTCGAGCCGGAGCCCCGGCAACCCGTTAAGACCTCCGCAGGTCTAACTGGCTTATTCTGGCTCTGCCATGTGACAAAATTAGGAAACTTATTGTAAACACAAATAAACACAACACAATAATATCTAATTCTTTTATTTTATTCTGTAAAAATCTGAACATATTACGAATTGAATGAAGAACTACATGATTTTGTATCAAAAGCGGATTTATTAAATGTTCCTATATTTAAAAACTGAGTATTTTCATGAATGCTGACCTGATAAAACGTCGACATTATTTGTTTATTTAATAATTATTTGAAACAGTATTACTTATAACTATATTCTATAACAATAATACAATCATTCAATAATGTATGTAATTATGTCTACAAATTGTCTATTAAATCATGACAATCAATGAGGGCACCACAGGTCGTTCATATAGCAACCCCTACAGCACAAATACCAACCAAATACCATCCAAAACTAAACTATAAATGTGCAGTATAAACAATCCTTATTTTAGATAAGAAATCGTTGATTTTGTAGGTTTTTTACTTCTGGCAAATCTATTCAAAGTACAGAATTTATTAGAATAGTTTCTAGCGAAAACATAATCTGAATTTGATACGATTAGTCCAGCTTCTTGTTCTATTGAAAATCACTTTTTACTCTAAATACAATTTGTCGAGCTCCACTCCAAATTGTTATTTTGCATCAATACATAGTATAAAACAAAGTCGCTTTCGCTGTATGTCCGTATGTATGCTTAGATCTTTAAAACTACGCAACGGATTTTGATGCGGTTTTTTTTAATAGATAGAGTGATTCTTAAGGAAGGTTTGTATGTATATACATATTGCACCCGTGCGAAGCCGGGGCGGGTCGCTAGTGTTTTATAAACTTCTTCTAAGTTTTATTGACTTAAATCCAATCTAGTATCTAACATTTTAACAAATATTTATTCACAAAAAAGACTTCATGACATTCAACGTACTTTCATTGAGTGTTGCCATAGTTTTAATGTTGTTAGTTCCTTAAACATTCGTCGTCACGATTAAATATACACATTATGCATAATGGGGGCTACCGTATTTTTGGTCACCAGATGGCGCACATGTTTTAAGGGATTTTTTGTCCAATCATAGCAGTTGTCAAATATTAAAGGCCCAATGACATGGCGCTAGGTAATTTCCTATTGGAAATAGTACGAGAAGTTCATACTAGCGCTGGTGAGCATAAACATGGTAGACCCCATTATTTTTATCCAGGTACGGTAGTCTCGACACGTTTACGATTTAGCGATCATTTTCTGTCGTTATTAATGTCGAGACTAACAAGCTGACCCAGGTTTACTTACTAGCAGTCTAGTAGTAAATAATTTCAAATCGCTATTGGTTCTACAGAAAACAATATTGCAATTTCTAAATGAGAACTATAAAAATAATACTGAAATAACAAATAGTCTAATTTCAAACTAATATAACATCACGCCTTTTATTCAACAAAGGGATAGTCAGATCTCATTTGTTACAAGTCCTATGCTGTAAACCAATAGGGCCTATTGCCATACACTAAGCACAATAATAATTCTCAGTTCTATAACTAAGAATTTTGGAAAATGAAAATCCTTTACAGTACTTGGCTTAAACCGAGAATCGAACCCGAGGACTTTAGCTCGATAGTAGCCACATGGTGAAAAATTAAAGTAAAGGCACCTACTTAAAGGTATTTTGCATTTCATCAAAAATCTAACACTTTTCAGTATACGGCTTCAAAGGCTTGAAATCAGCGTTCCCGCTCAAATAAGCATCGACAAAATTCTGTACGGAGTCTGTGGTAATTTCGTCACCATACTTCATGGTGACCATGCGCTGTTTAGGAAAGTCTATGGACGTGAGAAGTGGAACTGCATCGTCGAGACCTATATGCTCTCTTAACATGTCTGCGCTATCGGTCCCATCGATACCAATGTAGAACATAACATGTTTGAACGGCTTTTTCTTGAGCCGGGAGTGTCTGGACGTCGGATAGTCAAAGTCCATGGTCTCATCATCAGAGGAGTTCTGGTACGGACAGAACCCTGGAAACTGTATGCTGCACTCTTCGTAGTATGATTCCGCTGAAGGTGTGATCACGGATTCCGCGAATTCTATTTCTGAGTCTTCGTCATCTGAAAGGAAAAAATGTGGATAAATTGTTATTGGACACATTTTTTTAAGCCAACATTCCATGTTCTCTAATAAGAAGTTCTGTATAAAAAAAACATGAAACTGCTGGGTCTTGGGGCTGACTAATTAAAACATTTCAGGGGAGGGCCAAACTTCATACTCAAAGTCAAAGTCAAAATCATTTATTTCAATTAGACTAGGAAGGCACTTTCGAACGTCAAAACAAAATATTTAAATATTAAATATTAAGAAAAAATCGTCGGTGCGCCTGCCAAAACTGATATGTGCAAATAAGTATTTAGTTTTTTTTCTTAGCTAGATGTCCTTCAAATCGGATAGCGCATCGATTACAAAAACAAATTATGTGTTATTTCCCTATAGAAATCGATTAGACCAATCTTATATGTGCACTTTCTGGCCATGACAAATTGGTTATGTGTTCGATTGGTTACGGTTATGTGACATAAAACGCACATGTCAAGAGTTGCAGCATCACATAAATAGTTTGGCAGATTGAATATCAACAGTTTTTGTTTAAAATTTTTACCGTTTTCTAAGATAAATCTGATATGTGCACCAAAATCGAAAATAAAATTATTGGGGATGAACAGTACCTACATGTTATCATTTTCACTTTTATCTCAGTTATTTTTATCATAATTTTTGCCATCATACTGCATTTTTAATTTATTGCTAAGTCCATCAACCTTTCAGTGCAAGTGTAAAAAATAGTTTATTGTCTCCTTTTGAAAACTTGACCAAATGCACATAACAGTTTTGGCAGGCGCACCGACGAAATGTCAGTCTGTAGGTCAGTCCTCTAGTGAAGCTATTTGCTCGTTCCAAAGTGTAGATTCCTATGGAGAAGAACGAGCAAGAAACTCCATAGGTTACTCTTTTTCAATCATGTTCACAATACAATTTTTGGTGACATTCTTTCGTTGAGTTCAATAATATGAGAACAATGTAATACCAATATTTGGTCAAGGAGACGGAAAAAGAAAATAACCTTGAGGACAACAAATTTAATACAGTCTGGAGCTGACCAGTCCCATTTGACAGCGCCCGTTCACGAACATGACACGTACACCAGCACCGCCCAACTCGACCATGTTATAGGGAATCGAGCGATCCACTGCCCGTGCCACTGCCAATGAGACTTTTGACTTTTTACTAAAATAGGACTGTATCATCGTCATTGTCATCAGCTGAAAGATGTCCACTGCTGAACAAAGGCCCCTTGGACCATACTACCCGTAAAATGATGAATATTCGGCTAAGTAGTTCCTTTACTCTACGATTAGGGATATTTCTTAAAGGTAATGAAATTATGGGTATCTTACCTATAAACAGCACTACAGCGGGGTGTCGTGCCATTTTTAACAACGCCTGCTCTGTCAGCACCGAGACTGGTCGCTGCGCCCACGGAAAGTTCTGTGAATAGAAAGAAGGCAAATGAAATTAAACGCAGAACTTCAAACAAACTGCACTACGCTTGTCTATGTGTTTTAAGGTCAAAAACTATCAAACGGATTTTTATATTTCCATACTCACAAAGCCAAGTGGATCAGCAGATAGATGTTGTCTTCCATTAGCAGTGAGGATCTTGCCAGAAGCATCCGTGATGACAAGGGCGGGTATACCAGCGACGCCCAGAGCTGCTGGCATGGTCAGTCGGGCATCTGTGGCTGACCAGGGCACTGAGAGGGCTCCCACTGAGGAAACTGATTGCACGGTGCGGTTGTAGGATTGTTCGCTCCTGGAAATAATGATATTGATAGCTTTAATTTTAGGTAACCAGGGTCTATAAATGGTGCGACTTTAGCTCCACTAGATATCAAATCCAGTTGATTAGAAAAGAAGTAAATCAGTCGTAATTTCCTTCTTCTTCCCGCCCGTATCCCAAGTTACTTGACGTCGCCAAAATTTATTCCATTACAGACGACGTCGTCGTTCTTTCACAAACTCCTTTCTCATCCATACTTCCGTCGTTCCATATTTATTTCTATGTGTGAAGTTGTTGAAGTGAAGAAGTTGTGACATTTGTAGCAAGGCTAACTAACAAGAGAAAATAGATATGTTTGTTTTTAATTTTAGGGACCTTTACACAGCACAGCGTATGTCAGTCCCATCGTAGCCTAATAATGTATATAAATCAACTAGAGATGTATAAATCAGAGAAAATAGAAAAGTTGAATATACCTAAATAGTGTAACTATCGATTAGAACTCTCGAAGTGAGCTCGATCGTATTCTTGTCCGTCATTGGTCGAGATTACTCCCACACCCAATGACATGGCTGATCTTTCGAATTGATAGTTACAGAACCTCTAATCAAAAAATTAAGGATATAAGTACGTCCTTAGAATCCCTTAATTTTCTCTCAAAATCCCTTAATAGTACCTTACTTACGCAGCAGTCATCGTTAAATTATTTTAATTACCTAAATTAAGATTTACGTCTCCATTCAGCACCTTTGTAATAAATTAGAGGGCGGCCATTTATTTTACGATAATACCACCTGGGTTTACATGGATACATTCTCTTTTACAATTTCCGATAGTAAAAGTTATATTTACTCTTTATGACTTTCGACGGTGAAAGTTATTATTTATACGATGTTTGTTCTCATTTATACCTATAACCTAGCCCTCTTAACAGGTTGAGACCTCTTAACCTAGCCCGGTAATTTGAGCTAAGTACGCGTTTTTAAGCCATGAACCCGTTCACGGCTTAAAGGATAGAAGAAAATATGCAAGGATTGACTTATTAGGTCCCTCATTATTAAAATAACAGATTTTTTTATGACTTTTGTAATGAATCTCATTTTAAAATTTTTTTGGAATCCCAAAATAATGTCCAGTAATGTTTCAATTCCAACTAAGGAATTAATTCAAATCCATATCTTTGATGTCGATCAGGGTTGACTGTCGAGTTACCCTTGCAACCACTCGATCATTGAACCAGTTAAAAGCCAAAAAGTATGGAATAGATTAAAGTATTATATATTATATAATATAGCTCTTGTTATATTAAATACTTACCTACATAAAATATCATTTTGAACTCAAGATATTAGATACTCCTGAAAATATTCCAACACATAAATTACTCGGAAAATAGTGGAGCGCGTGCTCCTTCGTCGTTCCCGTAAGGAAGTTGATTGCAACATAAATAAATTGTTATTCTCTAGTTCCGGCCCCGGGATTGTGTTTGCGAATCCCGGGACTAAGTTGCAATGAATACGAATTAGGACGAGATTACTATTTACTCTTTACATTTTCTAGTCGTGTTTCTTTAGTGCTTGTCTTACTAATTTTAAGATACAATTGAATTTATTCATTTTGTACCCTTTTTTTGAAGGGGAAAATCTTTCAACTACTTCTCCCGTGTGGCGGTGGCGAGAGAGAGTGTCAGACTCTTACTGACTAAAAACCACCCTGTTCCTACTCCTGCACTTCGAACCGGAGTCCCAGCAACCCGCTATGCCCTTCGCGGCTCCGTATCGGCATCAGCCTTATTGGGCCCCATCTGTGGTGGTCTGATGGCTCCTTGATGCGCGGAATGCGACGCACCGTACGCTCGGGTCTGGTTCTGGTCGGACGGCGAGTTACTACGTGCTCGTACCACAGGCCCGTGCTTACGGTGGACGAAGATCATCTCGCGATCCCCGACGCTCGGAGTGTCTCTCGCGACGGCTAGGGCGTGAGGAGGTTCGTTCCTTCACGCGCCCCGCCTCCTTCTTAGCTAGCGCATTCATTTCATTCATTTTGTACCCTGCATTCATGTTGTTTGTCTAATGGATACGAAGATTAATATTTTTTAATACTAGTTTATATTTTCCTTTCCAATTATTGCGTCTAAGTAAGGAGAGACTAACAAGGCCTACCAGTTTCGATGTATTTATAACGTAGCGCAATTGTATGATATTTAACATAGCTGAGACAGTAAAATATTCTCTTAATAATATTTCCTAACCTCCCTAAAGTACCCTATTAAACACAGAAAAAGTTACAGGGCCCTTAACAATACACTGCTAAAAGGGAGCTCTTACGTCTGTGGTTAGGGCGAAAGAGGGCGAGAAAATAAGTACCGCTAGTATATATTATATAAATTATAGTATTCTCGCGAATATCAAGTTTTCCGGAGCAACAATAAATTACACAGTCTTCTACTGTCGGTGAAGGCGGGAACGATCAAATTGCTTTTTTACGACACAACTTTATATCCCATAGTGATGGGCATCATACACAAATCCCGGGATAAGTGGGATTTTTATTGAATGGGATTATAAAATACTGGGATTATATTTTTATTGGGGTTTTGAGAGGTTTGGTATCAGATTTTGTGCGATTTTTAATGGGTAGATAAATTCAATTCACCGAGTAAATTAAAAATCGGTTTAATTACTGTGGAATATTAATAAAAACGAATAGATCGGATGGAAAACTAAACGTATATTAGTAAAAATAAATTCTTCCTAAACTATTAATGCCTAAGTATAGAATATCTCTTTAAAGTGTAAATTAACCGGAACGAGACCGAACAGACCGTCCGTCGCGTCGCTAAATAAACTCTCTCAACAGTCTCTCTAATAAATTGAGCTAGTTAGAAGTAAACGCGATAAACCTACTTGGTTGTTTGTAACTCGTCAGCAAGTCCGAGTTAACGACAAAATTAACTTTTTACGACCAAATTACTTGGTATTATAATGACGATAACAGCGGGACAGCGGGTGACTTCTGACATTTTGTTTTTTTTCTTAAAGGGTGGCAAAAGTAAGCTGCTTATTGAGGCAAGGGCTCGTAAAGACGGTAATAGGGCTAAGCTTTACCGCCACAGTAAGTTGATGAAGTTAAAAGAATTATTTAAAGTGAACTAAATATTGAAGAAAAGCAGTTTGTTTTTTTTGCATTGCATAATTTTTGGCTCTGTTATCATGGGTTTAAGGATATACCGTTTTATGCTCCTTAATTTCATTCTTTTAGTTAAAATATTACAAGGTCTATTTTCAGATTACCCACCCAGGAAATATAAGGTGTTTAGTGGGTAGGTCTAGATAGTGAACAACAACATGAAACATGCCTCAAGAATTGTTTTTGTAAAGATGTTTCTTACCGAAACAAACATAATTTACGATTTTAATCATAATCTCATATTATCTCTCATAATGAATCTTATATTTTACATTAAAGTACCTTCTCACGATTCCAAGTACTTACAAATTATCCTTAACAAGTCGTGTAGTTTCTAAAGACAATTTATTAAAACAAAACACATTAACAACAGGCTGTTGAAATTGAACGTCTGATGTCACCAAGTTTTGCAGTTACCATTTGAGTTTAATGTAAAAAGTTAGTTGACACACAGAGACAAACGATTTCCTGACGACCCTCAAGGCTTATCGTTGTGATCTGCAAGTTACGAAGGATTTCAAAGATAGTTTTGTTACTGCTTGGAGATTTGAAGATGGAAAGGTAGTTAAATAAGAGACTGTAAGGGGAGGTGGGCTTTTCGAAAATGATGGGTCCATTAAACGGGTTGAGCATCGAATCTCTTGTTCAAGTGTGTCATCATTGTACTATTTATCAGTAAACTTAGAAACGTGTTATTTTTGCTCCACCTTACTGAGCAAAATTATAAAGGTATTTGTAATCCATTTTCAACACAATACGGAGGCGTATTGATCGTAAACCGTATAACCGTATTGTCTATCAAATAACATATCGCAAAAAAATTGAGTTTATTTGCAACCGTATCTATCCAATCCAGTTAGATGAGTAAGCCATATTCTTTTGCAGGGTCTGGAGGATTTTTTCCCGCCATAACTCACTTGCGCGCCATTACGCTTCGGCGCCATGACACCCGACAAAAATAAGCACAACAAAATAAGACATTGTGTAGAAAGTTCTTTCCATAATAAAAGAAGATTAACATATCTATGGAAAGTTTTAGATTAATATTTTGGGGCTTTTTATAATAGGAAAGCAGCCTTTCATAAGTTAGATGGGAGAAATAAATTAATCTGAGTACCAAGGTATTTATTTAGTTGGAAATAAAAACGAGAAAAAACATACTACGTTGTTTATTAGCAGTAAAACACAACCCTATGTTTTATATTTCGCAGTACATTACATCAAGTCAGAAGGGCGCCAAGCAACGAATAAATAAAACGTAAAATGCAACGTAACTACCGTTTCTGCCTACTTTAGATTTAATACTACTGGCAACACCATTTGTAAATCATAATTCAATATTTTACGTGCGTGTATTTATGTATTTTATTAATATTGTATAAGGGTAAGTTATGAGGGTTGGGTTCTGTTACAAACTTATGACTTAGGAAACGGCTTACCATATTTCGAAGATATTGCGGGGAGCTGGTGAGTGGTTAAAGAACCTTACATGACTACCCTTCTGTGTTCTTGTATCTACTCAATGTCACTACACTGTCCTGTGGACACGAAATTTTATATTTTTTGATTTACGGCATGTTTATCATCATACAAGAAATCTAAAGCTAAAAATCGACATGTTCCTCAATAAAGTTCCTGACGTTCTTGCCGCAAAGCTAAAAATCGTTGAAACGTATTAGTCATAAAAAGAATACAAGGCAATATAGTTTGTACGTGCCCATAAAATGGCGTGTCCCTATGAATATGATACCAGCGTAAATTGGCAGCGGTTTGCGAGGTCCGCGGTTAGATATTCGATGCGAAATGCGAATGTTCGTTAGTACTTGGCTATTAATGGTTCATAA